CAAAGCCACAGTGATCCAATATAATGTTGATTCTCGCCCCCAACCATCTCTTATTTTTATGTTAAGGACATCAGTTGTGGACTGAAAATTCTCAACATTTTGTCAAGGAGGTTCATGTGATACATGAAAAATCGCAGCACCTCAGAATATGTTAACACTCCACAGCAGGCAATCTGTTTAATGGTGCCTCTTGAGGTCCTTAAGCAAAGTTGTAGGATATAGAGGGCTTTTTGATATGGATTGAAAATACAACCACTGTGTTTTTCCCATCTCTGTTTTTACTGACAGACCAAAAGAGAGGGAGCTATAAAACAGTCTTTCTACAGAATCGGCAGTTGAGAGTATATTGTTTGTAGAGAAGATCCTTGAAAAGATCAAGAAATTTCACATAACATCTTAAGGTATGTATCTAGAATGTTCTCAAAGGAAACAGTGAGTTATCAAGCTGAAAATATTCCATCTGAATTAAATTCAAGATGTATCAGTAGGACCTAGACAGAAGTTCCTCATGCCTTTGCAACTGAATTGCATTTCTTCCCATCTCAGTGTGTGGAAATGCTTAAAGTGTTGACTTTCTAGGATTCAGCAGGCTGTTTGCTAGCTAAATTATTAAAATGTCAAACAAGATATTTTTTTGAAGTGTTGTTTGTTGGAAACTGGATGGTCTAGAAACTATAGAAGACTAGTGAAATAACAGAATATACTTTTTTAAAAAAATGGTGAAACATTCCATCCAAAAATGGAATTGATACATTTCATTTTTCTAGAGGAGAAAGGAAGCTAAGGATTTTCTTTGGCATAGTAGAGGCCACCAGATAGTACTAGTATAGTAGTTCCATCAAAAGTATGTTACGTCCCTTCCACACTGTCCCTATATCCTAAGATCTTATTCCAGATTATTTGCTTATCCCAGATTATCTGACAGTGGAGACTCATATAATCCAGTTTAAAGCAAATCAGATCCTGGGATATAGGGCAGTGTAGAAGGGGCCTTAATCGAGCTGTTCAACAGTCAAACTATTTAGTATGTTGGGGAAACATTGTTTTAATCTTCAGCCATTTATTTGCTCCTGTGTATATTCTGCATTTCCCCCATGCAAAACACATTATAAGTTTAAGTAAGTATGAACTTTTACATTATGCAGGTTCTGCCAAGGACTGCTACCTTTTTTTCTAGGCAATAGGGCACAAAAAAGGAAGCCATATAAAGGTCTGTTTGTAATGACAATATAATCTTGTTGATCTAGTTATATAAGGCGGGGGGAAATTTCGCTCTCTAGCAATATTACTTCTAAATGACATGAGCCTGATGCCAATGTAGATTACACTGTATGTGTATGGCCTGAAAGAGTGTATTAATCAATATACTCTCTATCAAAATGGTGGAGACATCTTTAAATGTGTTACTCGTGAAGAATTTATTGTTATGTGTTGTGATTTTATTTCCGATCTGAAATCATTCATGGCAGCACAAAAAAAAAAAAAAAAAAAAAAGGAGGAAAATTCAACTCAAGTATGGGCAGAAAAGGAAAAATACATAGAACAGTACGTACGGTACTACTTTCCTTGCACTTGTGTTAAACAGGTTTTGTGCAGTGCAGGCCGAATCTACACTGCCCTATAATCCAGTTTCAGAATGTGGACTGAATTAGACTGGATTATATCAGTCTACATGGCCTATAATCCAGGTCATGCAGTTAATCCACTTTCTGAAACTGGATTATAGGGCAGTGTAGATTCAACCTTAGTGATGAGGCCAACCTGTCTATGGCCAGAATTCTGTTATGATAGTTATGAATGTGTAATCTAGAGTTGTGCTCATGATTTTTTCATATTCACAGTCCTTTGTAGACCCTCATTTAGGGGCTACATAAGCATCATGAAAGTCTTCCAAAGACCACTTAATGGAAAGCTGCTGCTGTGATCAATGCTGTTCCTGTTGCTCAGGAATACTTTTTGAATACTGAAGGTGTTACGTTCCTGTTCCCTCATAGCACACATTCATATTTTTCTATCTTTAGAAGTTGGTTTTACATATTCTTGTAAGGCTTCAACTACCCTTCACTGCACAAAACCTAACACAAGTACAAGGCAAGTAGTACCGTACACATGGTTCTATGTATTCTATGTGTCGCTAACCTCGTCTTCAAACCAAAAAAAAAAAATTCAGATTGAATGGGAATGTTTTTGTGTAAGAGATCACCAACCAGTCTCTTCATTCTGGAGATTTGGAATGTGACTAAATAGAAAATGTAAATCACCACACTTTAAAAAAATGCAATTTAGAGGAATACATATAAAACCAGGTTGCATAATGCTCCTTAGTTCTGATTTATTTATGTCTATACAAAAGTACAGAAATTTGAATACAAACATTATTCAATATGCACAATCAACAATTTGCATTTTTAGTTAACAACACAGAATAAAGAAATGAATAGATATTTTGTCCTTTATATTAAATATTTACCTTTTTGGTAGTTTCTTCACTTTAAAGAAGCTAGCAAATTATCAGTACATAAAAATTCCCAGCTGAGAATGAGAAGTAGGTTGATGCCAACATACTGTTTTGAAATAGCGGGAAATCTATACTTCTCTTTTATTGCAGCTATACTGTAAACAGACATACTGCCTATTTAGATTTTTAATTCTGAGGGAAAAAAATCAGTTGCTAGAATATTAATGCCAAAAGTTTCAAAGCTGTGTGTTCTATATTTGGGCAATAACTAATCAAATAAAAAACACACTCTTTCCAACATAAGACAATAATATGTTGACAATATTTACCTAAGACTTTAATATCTTAATTGGTTATGTGTTGTCTGCAAGAAAACAGGTAGCTAATAATAATTTTTCACATAATTGAAGGGTTGTTTAGTTATTAGATACTGATACCTCTCTTACTAATTACAATATTTCAAAAAGACTGCACATATTTATTGAATTAATGCTATTATATTTATTATATTTACTTTCCACCAGGGTGCTGTGAGATCAGTATATAAATGAAGCTACAATTATTTCACTTGTACTTGGACAATGGAGCTGTCCCTTAATTCTTTCCCACTTAAACTAACCAACTGATCTAGAAGATCTCGATACCCTTCAGAGCAAATTTGGAGCATATAAGGTAAGAGAGAGACCATTCTTCCACTGCTTTCCATTACATTGAAAGATAAGCAGCATAGAATATAACCCATAATTATTACTTTTGCTAACTGTGCTAAGCTTTCCACTCCCAACAATCAGTATGTGTGGAATTAATCTCCACATGCTATTACTAAGACCTGCCCTCCTGCTGTGGTTTCCATCCGAGTACGCCACTATTGGATCTGAATAATATGCTTCCTCATTCCCTGTAATGTGAAGGACTCCTATATATTATACATTCATCAAATGCCCGATTTCTGTTTCATTCCCAGTACACAGCATGTTCATTACTTTTTTGAGATAAGAGGTGTGTTGGGCCCTTGGAGAGCCCTACAGTGAAAAGTGAGAAGGCGTTCACCTTATTAAAGTGGTACAACTGACACAAAGGCTGCAAACTTCTATGTAAAAAAATGAAAAGTTCAGAAGAAGCCTTTGGATTCCTGGTCCATATGGGAAAGTACATATCTATGAAGTTGGTATCCATGGGATTCCACATTTCTTCACCTCCATGCCCACTGAGGGTCCTTTTTCTATCATGTGTGGGTTTAAAAAATAATTCTGGAAGAATTACCACATTTATGAGTGTCATACAAATGTCTTGCATAGTCACATTTCTACCTTGATTAAGGCCATTTCTGTATGGTGTACATATGAAATGTGTGCATTTTTATGCACCTATCTCACGTCTGCCCATATCAAATCTGAATCCATAGATGTCCACATTTTGCCACCTCCATGTCCACTGAGGGTCTCCTTTCCATTTTTTGTGGGATTTTGTGGGCTACCAGAACACAAAGTGCAATTGGCCTGAGCAGCAGGGGACTGGTGGGAGTTCACATCAATTGGACTGATTTCTCATACATTACTAACACTATGCATAGTGAGTCCTAGCATGAATTAGCCTCATTTATGGCAATGGAGGCCCCTTCCACACAGCTGAATACAATCCCACATTAACAGCTTTGAATAACAGACTTAGTTATTCCAGGTCAAAGCAGATATTGTGAGCTATTCTGCCTTGATATTCTGGGATATATAGCTGTATGTAAGGGCCTGGATTGGTATAATTCTGTGCAAATAAAAATGTTGCACTTCTCTACATTATATAGCAGTGGTTTTCAACCTGTGGGTCCCCAGGTTGCCTTGGCCGACAACTCCCAGATATCCCAGCCAGTTTACCAGCTGTTAGGATTTTTGGGAGTTGAAGGCCAAAACATCTGGGGACCCACAGATTGAGAACCACTGCCATGCAGGATATTTCTGCTATATCCATTCATAATTTCATTGTGTTTGGCATTGTATGCCAGAGTCTAAGAAAAAGGGTAAAAACATCAAGAATAACCTCATCTTCCAAATCGCGCATTAATGCAATGGAAGGTTGCATAAATCAGGATTCCTGAACTAATGCTTGCATTTGAAAGAATATGGGCTCTCAACGTTCATTAACACAAACAAAGAAATCAAACTACCAGTTGAAAAAAAAAACATGAAGTGACAGAGTGCACTGTATTTACAAATTCCGTTTTTAGTGTCTAGTCAGAGACAGATTTTAGGGAGAATTAAGGAAATAGATTGCCATATGCTGTAGCTATTGAAACTGATGAATAGTTCAAAGATAACACATTTAGACCTTTTATATCTTTCTGAAATAAAACACGCACACATACATATACAATCCACATTGTATTGTTTGTATGTTATGCAGTTAATTACATCTCCTACAAAAGAGTTTTAAGAGGAAATGAAAGGTGTAATTACAAAATGTTTCCCTGGCAACAAAGTTTGTCGGCATGTCAAGGTTTTTTGTTTTTTGTTTAAATGAGAAACAAGTTCCTCTAACTGCCTGTATGTGTGCTTGTGCGAGTTGGGGGTGAAGGAATCATTAAAATCATTAGAACAGATAAAGTTTTGCAAAAGAAAAAAGTGAAGCTTCTTGGAAAAGACAAGGACAGGTAACACTGGATGAACTACCTCCTGTTTATCTGATGACTTAGGGGGGAAAAAAGATTGGAAGATACAGCCAACCTTATAATGGCTGCCATCATTAAGTTATTTTCTCCCCCCTGTTAACATAGTTGGAGTTGCTGGTACTAATTAGAAAGCAAATCAATAGAATCAAGCAAATGTACGGTTCCCGTTAACTGCGGGCCTGATCACCTCAGCACACGGGGTTCACAGCTAAGGGCAGGCCTCTCCTTGGTTCATAAGGTGTTGTCCTGGAAACCATTCGGATGCAGTCAATAATAGGGCAGACGCTGAGACACAGAGTGCAGCCCGTACAACTGTCGGTGACGGTGGGCAGGTGGATTTCTGGATCAAATTGTATAGCCTGCAAGCAGAAATAAACAACGCTGATGTCACTCACTGAAAAGGTCAACAGCAACCCCATTTTGAGCAGCTGCATTTCCTGGAGTTGAGGCGCTTGGAGAACTCTTTGTCTGGTACTGCATTGCAGCTTTTGTAACAATTTTCATTGTTAAGAAAATGCATTTGGAGAAATTAGAAAAAGCCGATGCAAATCTTCTCCTAGAAAATATCTCCCATTCTTCTCACACAAATTCATGCACACAATAGCAAAGTTTTTTTTTTAAATCAAATCTCAGGACAAGGTGTGTGTGTATGTTATGTATCTCATGTGTGCACAAACGTGTTTCATTTTCAGTGTCTTACATTATGTTGTCTTCCTAAAATATACATAAGATGGCGGTTTTAACTGCATTCATATTTTTGTTTGTCTACCCTTAGTATGAATAAGAGTACTATTCCCCTGTTAGAGATAAAATGCCACCAGAATATGATTACTGTTCCCAGCAAACTAAATTATTTTGCCGTGTCACTATAAGATACTACAGTACATTTTTATTAGACAATGATGGCATTTGATAAGTGTGCTCTGCAAGACAAACTCAGTGCTGGTGCCTCTCTTATCTTCTGTTTCCATAGTTTTCTACTATGTAATGCTTGCTTTTTAACTTCATGTTTACTTGCATTAACCCTTTTCCCAGGAAATATCTCTGTGGACATAGACAGGATGTTCTGCTTCAGGCCCTGATTTTAGTAACCTACACACACACACACACACACATACACACACACACACACACACACACCATCATCATCATCATCATCATCACACAAAAACACACATCCATATAAATAAAAATGTAATGTTCATTTGTAGGATTAACATAACTCAAAAACCAATAAGGGAATTGACACCAAATTTGGACACAATACACCTATCAGGCCAACAAGTGACCATCACTCATAAAAACACTGAAAAATACAGCGGAAGAGACTTAAGAAGCCAAAATAAATAAATAAATACATTACAATGCATGTGAAAAACCACATCTATACACTTATACACAAATACACACACACACAGAAGGCACATAAACACAGAATGGGCCACAACAACACGTGGCAGGGGATGGTCGTGGGCTTTGCCAACTAACCTTAAGCAGACAAACAAATTAGTCTGACCTGTGGAACTAAAGGGAAAGTGATGCACCAGTAAGATTTCATGTTTCCTGATGAAGTGATACTGATTGAAATGGGCAAACACTGGAAAAGTTTCACCATGAAAAATGAAAATCACTCCAGTTTCCTGGAGGAGATGCAAACCTCAAGTCTCTTTCTTTTGGTGGTGAGAGAAACAGAAGGGTCAATGGCTTATACCATCCTATAGTCAATCACATTAAAGGACAAGACTGTTTTCCATCACTGACTTCCTTATACTGCAATTCTACACGTCTCATCAGAAGGAGTTCCCACTTGTTTCCAATACATATCAGGATAGTTAAAATCTACCATTACTGTTACATCTCCCCTTCCTGAACGTGTGGTCATTGTTCTAGGAAGGCATTATACAGGTTCAGACCTCCTACAATGACAACCTTGTCGTCCCCCCCCCCCTTTAATTTTTAACCAGGTATTCTCAATTTGGCTTCCAGGATTTATATCATGGACCTCCTCAAAAGCGGAAACATCCTTGATATACAATGGTCCTCCTCCTCCATTCCTGTTTTGGTCTTTTTTTCTAGAATAGGTAATACTCCTCTATTACAACATTCCAATCATGGGACCAGTTCCACTAGTGTTCAGTTATGCCATTTATATCATCTTTACTTTGTTGTGTTAAGAATTTAAGTTCATCTTGTTTATTTCCTATGCTTTACTTAAGTTAAGAAAAGATAAAAAATACATATGCCAGCCATAATAATAATAATAATTATTATTATTATTATTTATACCCCACCACCATCTCCACAAAGGGGACTTGAGGCAGCTAACATGAGGCCTAGCCCAGAATTACAGTACAACAACACCAACGACAAATACAAACAGCAAATAATAACCAAAATAATAACAGAAAATGAAATAAAGAGATGCAAAACAACATGATGAAGAAATAAAATAAAAGCACGGTGGGTGGGCCAAATGCACAGAATAAGATTGATAAAACCCTGGGTGAGATAAGTAAATGGAGAATCATGTGTCAGTGGGGGATCTCAGAAGGGGTGACCAATGGGATCGAGCCTTCATTAAAGACATCATGAAGACAGAACTATAGTTGGGACGGCCATGATATGGGGATATGTGTTCACTCATCAAAGGCAAGCCGGAAGAGCCAGGTTTTTAGGTCTTTCTTAAAGGCTGCCAGGGTGGGGGCTTGCCTATTCTCACTAGGTAGTGAATTCCAAAGCTGAAGGGCTACAACAGAGAAGGCTCTCTCTCTCGTCTCCACAAGTCGCACTTGTGATGGAGGTGGGAGTGAGAGGAGGGACTCCCCCAAGGAGCAATCCATGTTCTGATCCAGTTTTTGTTTTTGATCTGCACTGCATTATTGTTAGCCAGTTTGGGCACCTTTCTGGCATTAAGGTATTGACTGACCAATGAAAGTATATTGGTAGCTATGAGAAGTCTCTCAATATAAGTGGGCTTGATAAATAAATAGAAGTCAATAGCACTAGATTAAGCATAAGTGTTCCATAAGCATACTGTTTATGATGCTGAGTGGGGGTAGTTTGGGATTTTAGTCCAAAAATGCAACTTTCCTAAATTCTACCTGGTGCTTTTAGCAAGTAGTTCCGTACTGAAAAGTTTCTTCATCTAATATTCCGTTTGTGCAAAGACATGGGATAAATTTCACTTCATGCACACGTTAACTGCATGGACTACTTCATAGTCCCTTGATGGATCAGGATATAGCTCTGTTGGGGAAATCCCATTTATAAACGCATGTGCGTGTTTGTATGCACATGCCTTTTCTTTTCAGCATCTCCCTTCCGCTCATTCACCCTCATACATTATTTGCTGTAAGTTGGATTGTGGCAAATACTGGCTACATCCTGAAGCAAATCAACCTCTTTAAGCTAATGGGTGGCTGCTTAATACCGTTGGGATTTACATCAGTGCAGTTATTAACTCTTTTTTCAGTGAACAGAAGACACTTCATGCTCCACATGTTTCTCAATAATTATGTTTTAGGGTGTTTCATTTTGTCCTGTCTTTGGCCTTCATATTTCAAGTGTTTTCTTTTAATTGCATGTAACATATAAAGCTATCAGAGGTATGATTTATACCTACTGAGAATAATGGAAAAGTGGAAATGCTACGCTCCTGAGCTAGCTACTTATGGCTTTTTCTACATCCGTTTTGAATGTAGTTTGTCCTCCCCAAAAAGGAAATACAGCAAAAAGAACAAAGAATTATGCTTGTATCACGAATCCTATGGCCAGTGTTCTGAATCAGCAACTTAGCCAAATAAACTTGTTACATTTAGTTAAGTAACCTGTACTTAACCAAGTAACCTCTATTGGTCTGACTCCTATCCCAAATCTGATGGAAACATCACCCATGTTCTAATTGCAAGCAGAATGGACCACCTTTTCCTTATGCAGCACATGCCCAGAAAAGCAGTTGGGAAATGGCTTTCTGATCCTGGCAGTGGTGTCATGATCCTGATTAAGTAGTGAGGGTGAAAATGGAATTGCTACAGAAAATAGACACAAGGCCTGTGCAATCAATGAAAAAAAGTTTCAATACTCATTACTAAATTGTGGGAGGGGGAAGAGAGAATAATTTCTAAAGCATTTCTAAAATATCATACAGAGTCCATATCATAGCTATTACGATATAATATTTTTGTTACTTTTTCGTTAAGCAATTGTGCCAATGGGAAAACTTCAGGGTTTCATTTCTCCCTCATTGTTACATCTAATGGGATGAAACTTGCTACAATTGTAGAACACATTTACCACTGTTACTTCCCCCTCCCAAAATTTCAGAATGTTTCACTCACCCACTCATTTTTAGGATTTTAAAAAACTTTTTGCAAGAACCTTTTTTTAAAAAAGAAAAAGCCACAACAGCTATCCCCTTGAATGTCTCTATAGGGCAAACAGCCCAACACAGATTTACTATCAGTCCTCTCTGATTCAATAATTAATTGGAACTCTAAACTACGTGGCTCGCTGCTGCTACAGACAGACAATAGCTCTCCCCTACCTCATTGGGGCTTTCTGATGCAAGCAGAATTTTGGGAAATGTAGTTTAGGGCAGGACCTTTGGAACTCTCTGCCACGGGGGTCCTCATCTTACCTATCTTCATTTCCCAGAATTCTCAGTCTTCCTCCCAGCTCGCTTCCCCTCCCACAATGGCGACAGGCCATCTGGCTCTCTTTAATTTAAGGCAGAATGGTCTCTTTGGATTCACACAACCAGTACACTTTGCTGCTTATGCTGAACATGAAGATAACTTTGGGAGATTTGCAAGGTTTACTGAACTTTAATGAGAAGTCATAGGTGAGTGTTTTGATACTTAATTTTTTTTGTGGGTGTGCCTCACATTTCTTAATATCGTATTATATGTACAATTCTATCAAAATACATCCAACATACGAGTAAATGACATTTCTATCAGGTTTGGAAGGGTTGTGCCATTCTGAAATCAATCACTAGTTTTAATTATGGGTGAAGTTGATATTTTATGGACCGTAATTTGGACTGATTTGGAGGATGTTTTAAACCTGGTGA